AATAATTTTTTAAGTCTTTTAGCCAGAATTCCCGCGAAGATCTTATAGTCAGTGTTTAATAGGGAGATAGGTCTATAATTCTTCACCTGGGTTGGATCCGAGTCTTGTTTAGGGATAATTGTTATAAAAGCTTCTTGCCACGTCTTTGGGATGTCTCTTTCTTTTAAGATACCATTCATTACTTCTGTCAGTGGTGTTATCAATTTATCTTTCATTTCTTTATAATAACTTGATGTGAACCCATCTGGACCCGGTGCTTTCCCTCTTTTTAACTCTTTTATCCTTTCTTCTACCTCTTCTCTTCTTATTGGGGTATTTAATTGTTCTTTTTGGTCCATCGGGATCTTCCTCACCCCTTTTTCTTTTAAATATCTCTCTATTTTTTTCCCATTATTTCTTTCTTTATTTCTGTATAATTGCCTGTAGAAATCCACAAATCCTCTCCTAATTTCTTTTGGGCTTGTTGTTTCTTCTCCGTTTATTTGAATCCTAGTAATTGTATTTTGTTCTTTTTTAAAAAAAAAAAAAATTTTATTGGTTTTACAAAATTTTAAAGACAAACAGACACTTAAAAAAAAACAAACATACAAACACGCATAATTTCATATTGTTTCTCATAACCCTCTTTTCTCAGACTCCCCCATACCCCCCCCTTTCTGCATCCCAATGTCCATAGTTTTATAGCAACTCCCAATATTACTTTCCAACCTCTGTCCTTAGTTATCTCTATAATCTGACCTTATATCACTGTATCCCTTTGTTTCTGAAAACCATAACATTCTAACATTCATCAAGTTTATAATAGTCCTTAAGATAACTTTTAAATTTTCTCCATTCTTCTTCCGCCGTCTCTTTTCCTTGGTCACGTATTCTGCCTGTCATCTCAGCCAATGACATATAGTCCATCACTTTCATCTGCCATTCTTCCAGAGTGGGTAAATCTTGTGTCTTCCAATACTTTGCGATAAGTATTCTTGCTGCTGTTGTAGCGTACATAAAAAAAGTTCTATCCCTCTTTGGCACCAATTGGCCGACAATGCCCAAGAGAAAGGCCTCTGGTTTTTTAAAGAAGGTACTTTTAAGTACCTTTTTCATTTCATTATAGATCATTTCCCAGAAAGCCTTAATCTTCGGGCATGTCCACCAAAGGTGATAGAAGGTACCTTCAGTCTCTTTACATTTCCAACATTTGTTATCGGGCAGATGGTAAATTTTTGCAAGCTTGGCTGGGGTCATGTACCACCTGTAAATCATTTTCATTATGTTTTCTCTTAAGGCATTACATGCCGTAAACTTTACACCGGTGGTCCATAACTGTTCCCAGTCAGCAAACATAATGTCATGACCAATATCTTGTGCCCATTTAATCATAGCTGATTTCACCGTTTCATCCTGTGTATTCCATTTCAGCAACAAGTTATACATTCTTGATAAATTCTTAGTATTGGGTTCTAGCAGTTCAATCTCTAGTTTTGATTTTTCCACCTGAAAGCCAATTTTCCTGTCCTGTTTGAAAAGCTCCATTATTTGATAATATTGAAGCCAGTTTTGTACTTTATGTTTCAATTTGTCATAGCTTTGTAATTTCCACTTATCTCCATCCTGTTCCAAAATTTCCCAATACTTCGGCCATCCGACCTCCATATTGAGTTTCTTTACTGCTTTAGCCTCGACTGGTGACACCCATCTAGGGGTTTTGTTTTCCAACAGATCTTTATACCTCATCCATACATTAAACAATGCTTTTCTAACAATGTGATTTTTAAAGGCACTATGCTGCTTAATTTTGTCATACCATAGATATGCATGCCAACCAAAAACATTGTTAAAACCTTCCAGATCCAAGATGTCTGTGTTCTCGAGGAGCATCCATTCCTTCAGCCAGCAAAAAGCTGCTGCCTCATAGTACAATTTTAAGTCCGGCAGGGCAAAACCCCCTCTTTCTTTAGCGTCTGTCAATATTTTAAATTTAATTCTGGGCTTTTTGCCCTGCCAGACAAATTTCGAGATATCTTTCTGCCACCTCTTAAAACATTCCATCTTGTCAAGTATCTGCAAGGTCTGAAACAAAAATAACATTCTAGGCAATACATTCATTTTAATCACTGCAATTCGGCCTAACATTGACAGTTTCAAATTTGACCATATTTCTAGATCTTTTTTAATCTCTAACCAACATTTTTCATAATTATCCTTGTACAAATTCATATTTTTAGATGTCAAATAAACCCCTAGGTATTTCACCTTCTTAACCACCGTTAACCCTGTCTCCTCCTGGAATTTCTCCTTTTCCATTTCTGTTAAATTTTTACCTAGGACTTTAGTTTTTTGCTTATTCAACTTAAATCCAGCTACCTGGCCGAACTGTTGAATTATTTCTAAAACCTTTTTCGTACTAGTGTTTGGCTCTTGCAGGGTCAATACTAGGTCATCTGCAAATGCTCTTAACTTATAATGTTTAGCTCCGACCTGCACTCCTTTAACCTGCTGGTCATTCCTAATCATATTCAGCAACACCTCCAGAACCGAAATAAAAAGTAATGGGGAGATTGGGCACCCCTGTCGTGTTCCTTTTTCTATCTTAAGCTCCTCAGTTATCACATTATTTACAATCAATTTGGCTTTTTGTTCAGAATATATTGCAGCTATACCATTCTCAAAACCTTGTCCTACCCCCATCCCCTGAAGATTCTTTATCATAAAACTCCAGGAAATATTGTCAAAGGCTTTCTCCGCATCCACAAAAATCAATACTGCTTTAGTATTTATATTCACCTCTAACTTTTCCAAAATATCTATTATATTCCTTACATTGTCTGCTAGGTGTCTTTTTGGGAGAAAGCCTGCTTGATTCTTGTGAATCTTTTCCATCAACACTTTTTTAAATCTTTTTGCCAAAATGTCTGCAAAGATTTTGTAATCCACATTAAGTAGTGATATTGGGCGGTAGTTCTTCAGTTGAGTCTTCTCAGTCTCTGTCTTTGGTATGAGTGAAATGTATGCTTCTTTCCACGATTCCGGTGCCTTTTTCCCCTCAAGAATCTCATTACAGACTTCCTTTAATGGTTGAATCAACCATTCCTTCAAGGATTTGTAGTATCTAGAAGTCAATCCATCTGGTCCTGGAGATTTGCCCAATTGCATATTCTGAATGGCATCCTCTATCTCTTGTTCTGTTATTCTCTGGTTCAGATCTATCTTACTTTGATGAGAGATTTTTTGTAATCCATATTTATCAAGGAATTTATCTATATCTTCTTCATTTTGTGGGCCTTGGGTATAAAGTTTTTTAAAATAACTCAGAAAGCAATTTCTAATTTCATTAGGTTTAGATATGTTCTTTCCATCCACTTCTAAACTTGTAACTGTATTTAATTTCTGCCTTTTCTTCAATTGCCATGCCAGAAGTTTGCCACATTTATTTGCTGATTCAAACGTCTTTTGTTTCATTTGCTTTATCTTCCATTCAATCTCTTGGTTCATCAATTCCATATATTGTATTTGATATAGCTTAATCTCTCTTAAGATCTCCTGGGACTTTGGTTTTACTCTTAATTTTTCCTCTCCTTCCTTTATCTTTTCCAGAATCTTTTCTTTTTTCTCATTTTGTTTTTCCTCTTTATTGAGTTTTGTTGAATCAAGAAACCTCGCATCACCGCTTTGCTTGCGTCCCAGACCACTCTTTTCTCCACATCAGCCCTCAAATTTATTTCAAAGTAGTCTTTTAAGGTTTTTTGGGCCTTCATAAGAATCTCCTTGTCGAGACAAGTAATTGTATTTTGTTCTTTCCTCTTTTTCACCAACCAAGCAAGCCATTTTCCTGATCAGAAGAAATTTTTTTTTTTGTAGAACCTAAAGCCGAGAGAAAAGAGAACAGTAAGAAAAAGAGAACGCCAGAAGAAATAGAAAAAGAAAGGACAGAAGAAGAAGAGACAGAATATAGAGGGAAAGAAAGAAAAATATTAAATTTTAAGAATAACGACTGCGACCAAAAAAATTAAATAATGGGGATATGAAGGGGTTGTCTCAACAGAAATGGATAGATAAGGAAATCAAAGAACAAAGAAGGTAAACTACCTAAGACATTTTTTACGATGATCAAGAACTGTAATCTAATTGACATATGGAGACTGAGACACCCCTTGGAGAAACAGTTTACATACCACTCGGAGCCGAACCAATCATCGTCAAGAATAGATCAAATATGGGTATCAAGTGAACTAACGTTAAGAACCCAAAAAATTGAAATTCTGGCTAAAGTCATCTCAGACCACAATCCACTAGAAATGGAGTTAAAAGGATTGAAGAGCGATCTTTTAGGTGGAGGCTGAATGATAATCTTTGGAATGATCAAAAATTTGTGGAAAAAATGCGGAACAGATTATCGGAATTTTTTCAGGACAACTTAGATGATAAAGGACAAAGATAAGTGTGGTATGGGAGGCAAGTAAGGCGGTAATGAGGGGCCTACTTATACAGCAAATGTGTGGAAAAGAAATAACAGGGAAAAAAAGACCAAAGAGATCTTGAGACAGATAATGGACAAGGAACAGAAACTGACTATAAAACCCAACAATGAGAAGATAAAGCAAGAAATAAAGACTTTACAGACTCAATTTGCAATGCTAATAGATAAGGGTCGAATGGAACATAAAAAGACTACGACAGAAAAACTTCGAGTTTGCTAATAAATCAG